TAATTTCAGGGTGTGGGTGTGGATGAAATAAAATATCCACGCCCACATACCCTAAGTACATTGTATCGATGATAATTTTATGTAACAATTGAAAACAAGTTTTTGGCACGAGTTGAACACTTTAAAGAAAAGCTCAATCTATGAATCAATGCAGAATTGAATGGGCTACAAAGTGGCATAAGGACTTTTTTGACAATAAATTTCCCACTGATCATTTGGGCAAAATACCGAGAATTAATGGATTTTTTCTCTTATATTTTGAAACAATTAGAAAATGCCACATATGCAGTTTTGTAGAGCAAGTGAAGCTCTATCGATTGGTATATGACTCAATTTGATTAGAGGAGAAATTATACAGAAAAAATTCAAAAAACAAAAAAAATCGATTTTGTTCATGTTTTAGAGTCATTTTTTGGGGTAGTATAGTATGACACGTCCTAACTCTCTTAAAGTAAATCTTTAGACCGTAATATTTAGGATTCATATATCGGTCAATAATGCCTAAGTTCCTGTCAGGTCAAATCCAGAATCTGTTGACCCACGTGTTTTGTCATATATCAAAAATGTCTGGTTTTCTCGTAGAACGTCTCTTAAGAAAGAAGAAAATAGAAAGGTGAGAAAAAAAATCCTATTATGAAAATAACAATAAAAGATAAAATGGTTTTTGTTTTCGTTTTGTTTTTTAACATCAAATGAGTTTTTCCTTTATATTCAAGTTAATTTATGTTGAATAAAACGTACCATGCAATAATATTGTACATTTATATCTTATTATTTAGATGGATCATCTTCCTTTTATCTCGGGGAGATAATGAGAAAAGAAAGTTATTTTCTTACTTCAATCCCATTTTTTGTGCTAACATCACTATAGAACTTGTTTTGGTGACAAGGATACATATATACTCGATTTTATCCCAAATAAGAGCAATTCCAATGGCAACATCTAGAATATTTCGTCTTTTTTTTCCCTCCGTTGTCATCGCATATGGAAAATATACGTGCTAAGAGACGTTTATCCTGCGCCATGTGTGTGTTATGATATTTCGTTACAGTGACGAATAGAGATCGTGATATGTTTATACAGGAAAAAAAAGAAATGGAGAACATCAATAGCTTCTTACAAAGGATCGTATGATACAATTCTTTTTTCGTATTTTTAACATTAACATTTTTTAATTCAGTTACTCTGTTTTGGGCCTTATCAAATTCATATTTGAAATTTCTATTTCTGCTTTCAGATTTTCCATTTTGTGCTTTTTTATATGCACTTTCTTCACTCATAAATTAAATATTGGAAGCGTTCTCAGATTTGAAATGGCTGAATCTATTCTTACTCATATTCTTCTTAATGAACGTTTACTCGGGATGATGATTCCTGAAGCAGTATTCCCAGAACTTCCCGTGAAAACCCTCAGGAAACTCACCGTTTCTGGTAGGAACCCTGCCGGAAAATGCCCGGAGTTTCCTACCGTACGTCTTTGACATGGGTACTGGGCCAAATTTTACACTTATTGATGGATTAAGAAAATTGGTTCAATGGAATTTATATGATAAAGATCATTTTATTCAAGAACTTCGATCAAACAAAGAATCGTATAGAAATAATCCATTAACGACCGAAAGAATTTATTTAATATGCAAAAAATTATAGTGAAAAAGATTATTTGGAATTTTTATTAAAAAAACTTAATAAATTTTTAATTGCTCGTGATCAACTGGTCGATAATCGAGTTAATCCATCTGATCGGCAGCTCAGTTTATCAGCTGGACTTGCTATGATTCTTTACCAATCTCGTTTCTTTCGTTTTACCCAAGGACGATGGTTCCTGAAGCACAATTCCATGAATTTTCGGCGAAATCCCCGAAGAAACTCGCCATTTCTAGGCGGAACCCGCCCGGAAAATGCCAGGAATCCGATAGACAAGTTAAGTAACCGTATCCGGCTGCTGGTTTTGACATGTTCCTGTCGGTTCCGATCTAAACCAGATAAATCCGGTCACCGGATCCGCTCAACTGGAACACTGCTTCCATAAAATCTCCGGAATACTACGGAACCGATCGTTTCCGTGCCGGATTGTTCGACCTGGGTATACTCAATAATTCGATAGATACAGTTGATAAAGGTGTTTATTACTTCGAAAAAACATCGGCTCATATGCGAGCAACAAATCTGCTTTTAAAACGCTTGCATAAGAATAAAGAACGTTTGGGTCAAATTTATAAAAGTATTTCATGGAAACCCGTTTCACCAATTGAAGAAATACATCAATTAAGTATTACTCCTCGGCAAGCATTTGAAAACATCTTTAAAAATTTATCTCATTCATCGAATACAGCTATCTCGAATATTATTGAAGATATTACAAGTGAATCTTTCTATACTCGGTACCTGTCAAAATTAAAAATAGTCGATGAAAAACCGGTTTACAATGGTCATTTGCATGCAGAAATATTGTTAATCGATTTTTTATTAGAAAATAATATTAATCAGAAGGATCACTTAAATCAAGTCGAGATAGGTATTTCAAAAATACCTTGTCTACCATGTTCGTATTATATTGCTGTATTGAATAAAAAATATAGTCGTTGTTTTTATCAATCGGATTGTACTCATGGTAAACTGTATGGAAGATGGATGTGTCGATCGAATGAAGATCCAACTATTATCAATGAAATCAATAATAAATTAACTGAAAAAATTCAGTATTTAATTGGAAAAATCTTAATCGAAAACAATCGTCATGGTGTTCCAAAGAAAAGTGGTGACAGTGATATTATGTTTACATCTATGGAGGACGATGATTTTGAAGAAAAAAAATATCATGAAACTGATCCTGCACAAGATTTTGGTATGTTTCCTTAGATTTTTATAAAACTGAATCTATTCTTTTGTAGTTTTCGATTGACTGTTATGTCTTTTTGGCATTTTCAAATTTTAAAAATCTTTTTTTCTGCTAAGGTGTTTATAGATTGACTGTAAGAAGGGATTGTGAGGGTTGTTACGTATTCATTCAATAGTCTATTAGTTCATTCTTTAAAAGATACTGCTCAGGAAAGTCTTTCGCATTCGTATTAATTAATAAGAAGTTTGAATTTCTTCTATTTAATTCTGCATACAACCACGACAATTTTTATTGTAGATATTCAAATATCATCAACACAACCAGTTATTTAACTTTATGAAAAAGATAATTTAGTTAAACGAATTGATGCTTCGAAAGATGTCGATAAGGTTTATAATATATTAAGAAAAAGAAATATTTATTTATTTTTAATTCAATATATAATTCTAGGTATTTGAAGATGTTCGAAATGTATTGAATAATTTAAAATCAACATCTTAATCTTACAAAACAATATTAATGCTTTATTGTTTTATGTGTCTGATCTTTTTTTTTTGAATACATCTTTATTTAGATAAAATCTATGATATTCTTAAAAATAAAATAAAATAAAATAAATAAAATCTTTTTTTGTTTGTATTCTGAATTTTGGAATTTATAGATTTGAAATAATAAAAGATTGATGTAAATCTATTTTTAATATCTGAAAAGAATAAAATCAAATCTGTATAGTTATAGATAAATATGCAACGTCCATCGAATGGTTATCGAGGTGGTATTCGTATTGGTCATCATTATACACATAATCATCTTGTTACAAATTCTGATGATATAAATTTATCACTTTCAAATTCTGATGAAAAAGATGAAAGAAAACATTCATCACGATATTCTTCTATCGGATTAAATAATGATTTTGAATCAGCTATACGAAATCTTCGTCCATCAGCCATACAACAAAAAAAGAATAAAACAAATTTAAATATAAGTAAACAAAAAGCTGATTTACCACAATTAAATACAACAAATGATGATCAACATAATAATAGTATAAATGAACATGAACAAAATGAAACGAATCATCAAGATAAACAATTACATCAATGGTTTCCACATCCAGATATTGGTCATGTAGATTCAAATGCTTTTATACGTCATAATCATGTTGGTAAGTTTATTCGATTGAAATCAAGAAAGATTGTTTTTTTTGTTTGTTTTCTTATTAAAGAATCTAAACAACAATCATTGGAATTAATTGAACAAATAACTCCACCAGCTATATTAACAGCAATTCCTCCTGTTGGAATTTCAACACGTCCAACTGCAATTATTGCACCACCGGCTCCAACACGATCTATTTCAGCTTTTTTTTCATCAAATGCATCAATAAAAAAAGCAAATAGTACTAGTTATAATAATCTTCATAATAATTCTTTAATTAAAACAAACGAACCGCAACAACAACAACAACAGATAGCATCGGCTTTTCAACCCATTCATTCTATACAAAATATTCTTCATCGACAATCAACAATTAAATCTGCACCTGTTTTAATGGATATACCACAACATAAAGCATTAGTACGTGGTCAACAATTAAATAAAGTACATATTTCTCATCCGCAAAGTCCATCAACTGTTCATGTAAATTTTTTTTCTTTAATTTTTATTCGAAAAACGAAAATGTATCAATTTTAGCTTATGTTAAATGAAGATTTTAATACAGCTTGTCGTCTTCTTCATGATATGGCTATACATCCTGACCTTAATATTGATCATGCACCAACTCATCTTTTTAAGTAAAAACTTTTTTTCTATCCTTATTCAAAAAAATAAATTCTTTTATTAGAGCTCAAGTTAATCGTTTATGTGCATGTTATCATGAAGGTCGTTGGTTTCGTTGTCGTATATTACAAATTTCACCTGATTTTTCAACAGCTACAGTTGTTTATTTGGATTGGGGTATGACAATTCCAATGCAAATTGGACCAGAATATATTCGTCGATTACCAAATGAATTTTATATTGAACCAGCTTGTTCTATAATGTGTCATCTTGATGGTATACCTGATACAAATGATTTAATACCGTCGAATATTGTTGCTGAATGTATTGCTTTATTAAGTGAAAATGAATATGATGTTATTGTTAATGGTTATGATAGTACAACAGGAGGAAAAGTTGTTCTTTCAGTTAATGGAAGAATTGTTAATGATCAAATACGACAATTACTTGTACCAAATGTAAGTTCTACAGATTGATTACGTTAATTTAAATAGTTTTTCATGATTTGCTGTATTTCAGTGGAACAATGAAAGTTTCTTATTTTAGTATGATAGGATAGGGCATCTTTTACTCTGTCGATTTAGTTTTTTTTATCGTGTATAGTGAAATTAGTTTCGAGGTCCATGAGAACATGTGCACGTTATATATTGAACGTTTTTTTTCTTTTCTTTCGAATGACCGTTAGACCGTTCGTCTTTCCACCAATTCGTTTGAATATATTTCGAATAAATGCCACGTAATGAAATTTCCGATATTACCGAAGAGCGTATCTTGCAATTTTTACGGAAGGGATATTCTCAATTTCAAATTGTGAATATTTTGAAACTTGATGGAATTTCTATATCACAATCTTCTGTGTCGCATATCAAGAGAAGTATCGGCCGTCAAAAAAAACCAAATCGAAAATTAAAATTTGTCAAAGAAAACCATCAGAAACAACATCAAATATTAATAAATTAATAGCAAAAACTGATGTCGAAGATCTGTTGATTCTTCTAGATAAAGTTAGAGATGTTCTATCCTATCATACTAAAATAAGAAACTTTCATTGTTCTGTTGAAATAAAGCAAATCATGAAAAACTATTAAAATAACGTCACTTTCACTTTCAGACATTGATGTCACTTGAAGATGAATTAATTGAACAATTTCGACATGAACTTCCATTAACAATTGGTGATGAATTAAAAACTTTACTTAGTTCATTTAGTGGTAAAGATGATACATTTTATGTTTTACTTGTTAATGAAAATACTATTGCTATTGATCATGCTATGAATCAATTACAAGAAGGAAATCTTTCCAATTGTTATACATATGAAACACCACGAATAAAAACTCTTGTTGTTGCTCGTTATGTTGATGATGGTAAATGGTATCGTGCATGGATTAAATCAATTTGTTTACAACGTAAACAAGCAATTGTATTTTTTGTTGATTTTGGTAATGAAAGTACTGTTATGTTTTCGGATATTTATCCATGTCCAGAATCTGTTCGTAAACTTCCATGGCTTGGTATACGTGTTCGTTTAACAAATGATACAATGACACATGATGAATTAGCAACATTTTGGAAAATTGCTGAATCAAATTATATATGGATTAAAATTTTAGATATATTGAAAGATTCCTATAGTATACAAATTAAAATTGATTATACAATTCTTCTTCGACAAGAACGTATGAAATCATTAATATCTAATCGATCTGTCCATATAGGTGTACAAGTATGAATTTAAAAAGAAAGATTTGTTTTTTTTTTTCAAACTAATTTTTTTTTGTATTTTTTAAAGACAATATTCAATGAAAGATCGATATCAACAATATGTCCATCGAATAGTTCAGATATAAATTCATGTTTAATGACACCATCAATCAATGATCAAAGTCAAATTGGAAATGAAAGTTTAATTCGAAATTTATTTGAAATGATTAGTAATGAATTACGTCGTCTTCGAAATCGTATTAATGATAGTGATGAAACATCACAAGATCGTCATAGTCAATTAATGCAATTATTATTTTCATCATTTAATTTAAATAATAGTAATAATAATAATAATCAAAAACGAGTTTAACTTGTAAACTAAAATGAAAGCATAATAGTCATATATGAATAACCCGGTTGTTTTTTGTATATCAATGATTTTAGATCTCTATTTCTTGTTTTGGTTTTTTCTTTTTCTTCTATTATAGTCAGATATATATATTTGTGTTAATTTTCTGTTATCTTTCAAAACTTACTGTTAAATAGGATTATTGATTAATTCGTTGTAGATATTTTTCGTATTATATCTTTTTTAAACAATTATAAATGGCAAGTCTACTTCGTAATACACGATCTATTTTAACACGATTTTCGTGTATTCAACGTACTGCAACAACAGTAGCAGCTACTTCTGGTACACAAGTAAAAACATCTGGCACTGCAGCAAAACACTCGCAAACATCAAATTCTTCTAGTGGAACTCATATGGCAGTACGAGATGCTCGACAACGCTTAAGTCCAGTAGATGCAATTAAACCAAGACCTGCAGGCGAACCTTTCATGTAAGATATTATTATAGGAAATTAATTCTCATTAGAAAATTTTCATCACTATTATTTTATTTGAAAAAGAAAGCACTCATAGGCATTGCTAATATAAATAACAACAGATTATTAGTTGCACTTTTTTATCTAATGTCATAGAGTAAACGACGACTTATATTACATGATTTGAATAATATACATTAAGGAATCTTTATAGTGTACATCGCTTTTATTATTTTCTATTTTATATAGTCCTTTGGTTGGTACAGCATTGAACGTATGGGGTCAAATGGCTCTTGGACTAATTCTTGTTACCAGTGTTTATTTTATTTACATCAATTATATAACAAATCCAGAATTTTATAAAAGTTTGAAATTAAGTCGTGAAGCAACCAAAAGAGATAAAGATCAACACTCAGCCAAGTAAATATTTTACAAAAATATATCATAGATATATATATATATATCTTGCTTTTGAATTTATTTAGACATGACGATAAAGCTGGCCATCACTAAATTGATGATGTTCATGCCCTCAAAACCGAACTCAATAGATTAACATTTACTATATAGTTTTTAGTTCTATTCATCTTGATCTATACACTCTAGCATTATCAATTCTAACAAAATACCATCCAACATAATTATCCAAAGTGTTTAACCTTTCCCTTCTTTTTTTTCATATAAAAATAAAAGAAAAGAAAACAAAGAATATAATCTTTTAAATAATTAATTTACAAAAAGATGAATAATAGCCATTCATTCATATATTTATGAAATGAAAAAGAAATGCTTAGTTACATCAAGAAAAATATTTATTTGATAATACGTCATTTCTAAGCTCTGTTGATTACACATCTGACATTTAAATTAAAAAGATCGAAAAATTAATTTTATTTATTTGTCTTTCTCATCTAACCACATAGCTTTCATAATTGGTTCCAATTGATCTGTTTGATTTGGTGATATTTTGGCGACATATTCATTAAGTTTTGTATTAACATATTGTGAATAAACAAGTTGAGTTATAAATGTACTAAATAATTTAACAGCTTGTTGAAAATTTGAACAACGATAAAGAATATAACGCCATAATAATTCAACATAAATATTTTGTATAGCAAAAATTCTTTCAGTTATATTTTCATTTTCACATTGATAAACATCATATCGAATATTTAAATGTGTTGAAAACATCAGAACAATAAGAATTAATTTTAATAGAATAGGATCATAAATAAATGAAAATAATGCTATCATACATTTACATAATTCAGAAAATAAATCTGGAGGAAAAAGACGTACAAATATAGTTGCAGAAACATCATCTGTAATTCCAGTTGCTTTTATAACCACAGCATTATTTATACGAAATAATTGATTAAGATTATTTTTAACTAAAGTTTTTTTAATATTGACAGATAAATTAGAAAATTCAGGAATAAATTTATAATATTCAATTAATGCCATATACATATGAGCAAACGAATTCATAACTTTTTCTAATGATATTACATAATCTTTTGGTTTTTGTAATTCTTCATTAAATCTTAACATAACACAAGTTCGATCATATGCACCAAATATATTTGATAAAAGTGTTTGATCATAGGATGATAATGATGATGAACTATAATTTAAAAGATTTGGTGGTCGAATCTTAAATAAAATATATAGGTTTAATTATAAATATAAAATAAAATGAATACCATTATTTGATTATTTTCTGCTCGTTTTTGTCGATTAGTTTCAATTAATCGAAGTCTTTCTAATCGTTGATCATCAGTACGTATTGATTTTATATTCATACCAAGGCGGATGCATTTTGCTAAACGACAACAATTACATTGTCGACGTGATTCACTTGTTACAGGACAATCTCCATCACCTCGACATTGAAATTCAATTGTCTAAATCATAGAACAAAACATTTATTTATATAAATAAATATGATAACATACGCCAAGTTTAACAGCATTTCGTCGAAAAAATGCTTTACATGGTGAACATGTTTGTACACCAAAATTAACTCCAATAGCTCGACCACCACAGATTAGGCATATATCATCATTTTTTCTTGTTTTCTTTCTTCCAGGTTTCGATCGGTAGGAAAAATTCATTTGAAAAGCGATAATATATATAGATCTAAAACATAAATGTATAGTAACTTATTTAAAAACCTGACGTTTGCTTGTTTTTTCTCTCCTTTGTAATCGTAGGTAAGATACTTGATATTAATCTAATATGAAAAAGAAGAACTAGATACAAACTATAATTTTTCTATAAACAGAAAAAAATAGATGAAGCTACATGTCAAGATGACTGACGTATGATTAACGTCACACCGTTTAACTTTTATTCTCTTACTTCCTTCTATCGACATCTGTCATTGTAAAACTCTTAGAAAACATATAAAAATTAGAATAAAATGGAATGAATAAAGTATGACGAAGCACTTTTTTATCAACAAATCAAATTTTGATCTTCTTATTTGTAGGATTACGATTTGAATTTAATAAAGAAAGAAGTTAAAAAAGTTTTATTCTATCTATAAATGTCCTTGAAATCTCTATTTTATAGATAATCTGAGTTTACTGAGTTTTTCTTAAGATTTTATTATAGCTCTACAAAAAAAAACAAGTGTATGGTTATATAACCTAAGGAAATTTTTTTCTCATATTTTATTTTTATATAAAAAAATAAAATGTAGACAATATGTTACTTTCATATTTATCTTAATTAAATTGCATTTCTAGGTGTAATCTATTCATAAAAACTTTGTCATCAAAACAAAAGACTTGGTATAAAACATTAATTATGTTTTTTGACAGTCTTCTTTTCTTGTTCTTCTATACATATATGTATAAGGTATTCTTATATGAAAGCAATAATAGTAAAGACTGGATATTATTTTGTTTTGAAGAAAATTATCTTCAACAAAGCTTCTTTGTAGTTTAGCCATATGAGGAACAAAACCATATTCATCATTATGTTGTAATAAGATCATAACTATTCAGTTACCTTCATAATTTAATATTAATTTCAGTAGAAGAAATATGAATAACAATTCATTATACAAAAGAAACATATGATGTTAAAAGAAAAAAAATGTTTTTTTGATCTATTGATTGGATGTATTCTTGAAAGGAATCCTTTAAGTATACATATGTGATGAATTAATATTATGATGGACGGAAGTAAAAAAAAAGCTAATTGTCATTCAAGAACTTGTCCTTACAGTTTGAAGAACTAATTTTGTATGAAGATTTTTCTATTTAAAAGTTAAATATGCATGAAATTAACATCAAACTCGAAAGAATATTTATGAACTGTTAAGAAAATGTTTGTATATAAATTTCGATGCATCTTATTTATTTTTATTCATGATAAAACATTCTCTATTAAATAAATTTAGTTCAATTCTAATATACAGAAGACAATAAAACTAATTTATTGGGTAAAATTGATAATATTTTTTCTTTACCATTAGATTTTACTAGAAAATAAAACTATAATTCAAAAAAAAAATGAAATATTAACAAGAATTTTCTTCCGATGGATTCCATAAAGATTTTATAATTGGTTCTAATTGATGATTTTGAGTTGGAATAATTGTATTCATAAATTTATTTAATTTAACTTGAACAGTTTGAGAATATAATGTACGAGTAATAAGTGAAGTTAAGAAATGTACAGATTGTTGATAATTAGCACAACGTGAAAGTATATAACGCCATAATAATTCAACATAAATATTTTGAGCAGCAAATATATTTCGAGTTATATTCTCATCATTACATTCAATATGATAATTGGTATATTCTACATTTAAATATTTGGATAACATAAGAGTTATGAGAAATAATTTCATTAACATAGGATCATGTACAAAAGGAGAAAGTGCTATTGAAGTATCACGCATACCCATGTATACATCTTTTGGAAATATGTGCAGGAAAACAGGTGAATCTCTATCAAGTTCAGGAGTTATTGTTTTCATGATTAATGTACTATTTTTTCGGAGTATTTGTTGAACATTATTTTTAATTAATAACATTTTAGCATCAACAGGTATAGATCGAAATTCTGGAACAGAGTTAATATAAGATATAAATCCAATATACATATTTGAAGAAGCATTTAAAAATTTATGTAAAGTTAATGTTTCATTAACTGGCATATTTAAATGTTCTTTATAAGTATGTGGTACACATGCACGTTCATACTCATGAAATATATTTGTAAGAAGAGTATAATCATACGATGATAAAGAAAAAGAATAAGTTTTTGAATATCGTAATAATCCATTAGGACGAATCTAAAATACAATAGAAGAAAAACTAATACTATAGAAATCTAATAAATACGATGATTTGTTTATTATTAGTTGCTAATGATTTTTCATCTTCAACTTTTTGTTCTGCTCGTTTTTGTCGATTAGTTTCAATTAATCGAAGTCTTTCTAGTCGTTGATCATCAGTACGTATTGCTTTTCTATCCATACCAATACGAATACATTTTGCTAAACGACAACAATTACATTGTC